GGGAATTGTATACTAATGAAGGAATTTTTTTTTTCTTTTTTTTTTCTCTCTTCGGAGGGGGAAGCGAGCTGGTGGGGAGGGGTGGGAAGGGAGAAAATTGCGGCAATGCATGAATGGAAATCCAAAACCTCTGTAAAAAAAAAAAATTATATATAAAAAAGTCACGGTTAAAGGCTTAAAAATGGAACTTCTATATGGAAGGGCTTAGATTTTTGTAATGCTTAAATGGAACCCACATTTCCAAAGTAGAGCTTTGTTTTTCTGATGTCCAGAGAATTTTATCAGTTGGTTGGAAATGTGCTGTTTTTAAGTCTAGTATTATAAGAAAGTATGTGGGGAGGGGAAGGACAAGAAACACGACCCCAAACCCTCTTATCTTTTTAGTCTCTCCTGTGGTATCACAACCGCCCAGCAGCCCCGACACGTGGGTCCTAGGAGAGCGTGGGAAAATAAGAAAGGGGAGGGGGAGGGAAGGAAACTGCCAGAACTTAACATGTCCGCTCAGACTCTTCGACTTCCAAGAGAAGGTATACCAGTTTCCAAAATGTCCGCCCGCAGTCATGACGTCACCTTCTCGGCTTCATCGGGCCAAAGTAAGAGTGCGCTCCAATCAGGGCTCAATCCCCTCACCCACTGCCACGGCATCGCGTCACTTCCGGTGGTGTAGCAGCCATTTTGTCAGTCGCCAGCGGATCCCGCGCGCTGGAGAAGTGCGTTCCCCCTGGTTACCAAGTCGTCGGTTCTCCCTTCTCCCTGTGGGCGCCGTCGAAAAGGGCTCACCAAATACGCAGTCGTTCCTTTTGACAGCGCCGCTGCTGCAGCTGTGCATTCCCCCGGAACTAGTGCGCTGTCTTTTCTCCCTGCCATTGACAGGCGCACTCCAGGAGCCACCATCCGTAATGTCAACTGAGGAAAGCTACCGGGCCATCCTCAGATACCTGACGAACGAGCGCGAGCCCTACGCGCCAGGCACCGAGGGCAATGTCAAGCGTAAGATCCGCAAGGCAGCTGCCTGCTATGTGGTGCGCAGCGGAACCCTGTACTACCAGCGACGGCAGCGGCACCGCAAGACCTTTGCGGAGCTGGAGGTGGTGTTGCAGCCCGAGCGGCGCCGGGGGCTGATCGAGGCAGCACACCTGGGTCCCGGAGGCACTCACCACACCCGGCATCAGACCTGGCGTGACTTGTCCAAGACATACTGGTGGCGAGGTGAGCGAGGGGGCGGGCCGGCGTTAAATGTTGTTGGGGCAAGGCCCGCCAGCGCAGCCCAATTGTGCACCGGAGGGCTTTGGTGGGGGGGTTCCTGCTGCCCTTCGATGCCTCCTGACAGCTCAGCCTCCTCTTAGCGGAAGAGCTGCTGCCAGGGGATCCGAGAGGGTGGGGGACGCGAAAGGAGCCGCACTTCCCGCAGGAAGGAGGCCGGGGAAGCAGGGGGCGGGTCCTCGCCGGGGTGGGGCGAAGGGGCTTCCCCGGGGGCTGGACCAGCGGCGGGGAGGGGCCGGGCTGGCCGGCTACCTTGTTCTGGTGCTGGTTGCTTCTCTGTCGGGGGAAAAAGCTTCTTTCGCCGAGTTTTGGAGGCTGTACAGGGGCGGAAGGAGCATATTTTGCCTTTTGAAATTCAGTTTGTGCTAGTGGTTTTTGCGGGGAACTGTTCGCTTAAAATCTCAGCTGTCATCTTCAGTGTCTTTGCTAGGGTTCTTGCCAGTGCATTTGAGATTATCTAGACCCACTTGCCTATACCAAGCTGTGATGAAAAAAACCCTGCAAACTTATTACAGTCGAGTTGGAACCAACCCATAGCCGACCCTCCTGAAGGTTTTCGGAGGCTATAAATCGCGTGGGAAAAGGTTGTCTGTCTGCTCCTCCAGCCACTAGTGGATTCAGACCGTGAGAGGCGCAGTCTGGAGATAGCGGCGCATCCCCGTATGCTCTGAGCATCCCCCTATGCTCTACGTCTTGAAACCTCCATTGGTCCAAATTGTGATACAGCTGCTGCATAAGGAATAATATAATAAACAGTTCTGTGTGGAGTCGATGGCACAAAACAACAACATGGAGTGTCTGTTTGAAAACAGCCCTAAATTTCGTTTTTATGCTAGGATTTAAAGGGTAAAGAATATCAGGTCCTCATGATTTAGAATTTTATTTATCCCTTTGAACAGTGAAAATGTGAAAAGCGCTTTGAGAAATATGAAGTAGCGTGTATACCCAGAAAAGATGGGATTACCACTGTGATTTTTCTTGTCAAAAATGTGTTGACTCTGTGGAGGCCAAACTGGAGTGAGGGGAGCAAGGATCCTTGGCTTCCTAATCTTATACCGCAAAGTTGATGAATATTCAGACTGCTCAAGTTTGGGTGGCAGATTGCAGGCCTGCGTTAGAGGTTTTGTTTGAAAGGATTCTGCCACTATCTCTGTGGCTCTGGAGAAATTAATTTATGAGCCATGGTTACATCTACTGTAAAATAAGGAACTAAAACTACTAGCTTCTAAACATTACCTGAACTAAAGAGTTACAGCTGTGAAAAGTATAGGGGAATCACTGCATTTTGTGAGGATCTGTTTAGACAGACATTTTGTTGAATCAATGGTTCAGGTTTAATACTTGAAGAGAAATTAAAGATTATTTTAGCTAAAGATAACATCACACTTTTATGTGCAGACTTAGCTGTAAGCACTTAATATATTTTCACTCATTTAATCTTCATAAGCATCACCATCTGTCATTGTGATTGTGACTTGACTGTTACTCATTCTGGAAGCTGTACAATTAGTATTTCAGATGTGCGAACCATCACCCACAGTGGACAGATTTCAGTGGAGGGCCAGGCTAAGACTGAAATTGGTGTACAAAGGGGGTAGTGGTTGTGTCTGAACACCTCTAACTTAATAAAGGGTCAAAGAATCAATATTGATATAAGCCAGGGCCGAGTGCTGTGAGGTAAAAAAGTCAGATATTCTTCCTTTGAAGAAAGAAAAATTCAGAGTGGGAATCAACCCATAGCTAACCCTTCAGTGAGTTTTCAGCAGCGGTAAATCATAGAAGAGATTGTCCATCCTTCAGCCCCAGAGCAGCTAGTGGATTCAAACCATGTGCCTTTGGGATTCCAACACAACTTATTATCACTAGGTCACCAGAGCTCACTGAAGGGTTAAATACTTAGTGTTATTTTACAGAGGGGAAAACTAAAAAAGCATCAACAGATTAAATAATATGTCAAAGAATACTTGTCTTTTCACACTTTTCTTAATTACTAATATTTGGTGCTATATAGAGAGCTCTGGTGGCATAGTCCATAGGGAATTGTATTTCCAAAATAAAGTCTGTACCTCCCTGAAGTTCAAATCCACCATTGGATCTGTGGGAGAAAGGTAGGCATCTCTGATGTGATTTACAGCCTTGGACTGCCACTGAGATGGATCTGACACCACGGGTAATGCTTTGAGAATCTGAAGTTTAGTTTTCAGATTGTTGTTGTTAGGTGTCATCGAGTATTACCCATACTGACTCCTTGAACAACCAATCTAAACCTTATCCTCTCTTGTACCAACCTTAAAATTTCTAACACATTAGATCCCATTGTAGCAGTCACTGTGTTATTGCATCTGGTTGAGGGTGTTCCTCTGTTTCACTGACCTTCCCATACATGACGACCCTCTCCAAGGAGTAACCTTTCCTAGCAACATGACAAAAGTATGTAAAAAGAAGCTTATTATCATCCTTGCCTCCAAGGAGAACTCTGGCTGCACTTTATCCAAGATGTATTTGCTTGTTCTTTTGACAGTCCGTGGGATATCCAGCACTCTTCTCTGCACCACAGTTCAAAGGCATTAACTCTTCTCTCATCCTTATTCATTGTCCAGTTCCCAGATGCATAGCAAGACCATTTAAAAGACAATGTTCAGATTATGTGTGGATAATATGGGCTTTTGTTGTATGTGTGTTGTTTTGGTGTTAGTGTGATTGTCTTAAAGGACAGGGAAAAGGGAGTGCCATATTTATATTAGCCTAATTTTTAAAAACAACATACATACTTCGATATGTGGAATTTCAAAATTCTTACATATCCAGAACAAAACATCCAGAAAAGTTTGTCCTACAAATGGGGAGAAGCTGGAATTCTGTCATAGGAGACTTTCTCCCATGGAGGGGGGCTAGTGAGTTTGAAGCAACAATCTTATATGCACTATGTATGCCACCAGCACTCATTATGAAAAGATTACAGCCTACAAAATTTTGAGGGGTAGTTCCACTGTCATATGGATTTGGTAAGAGTCAGAATCCACTTAGTGATCCATAGCAATAGCTTCTCAAATAAGAAAAGAATACTCTGCACAGAAGTGGAATGCAAGAAATTTTCAGTAATCATTTGTATCATAATCTTTTTATTTCTGAGTAATTAAGCATCATCCTTCTGAAACTAATTGATTTTACTTCTGGAATTGGTATTAAAACAAATTTTGGAATGATCTAGAATGATGTCTGATAAACCAAGCATTTTTACTGCCATCTTTTAAAACTTTCATAAAGTACAAATGAGCTAAGTAGATAGAGACATATCTCATTTTATTGCTTTTGACTTTATTTTACTTTGCAGTCATTGTTTTTTATTATTGTAGCTTTAAACTTTATGGCAATTCTACATTAAATGTGTTGACACTATTTTCCCAAATAGCTTGTGCTCACATCAAGTCTCTCTCACATTTCAATCATTCTCACAGTATTTCAGACTTTTCCATAATGTGTAAAATAGACTACTAAACCTGCCATTGAGTGAGTTCCAGCTCATGATGATCTTCCACTAGGTTTTCAAGGCTGTAAACCTTAAGGGCAGGACTGATAGCTGACCCTCCAGTAGGCTTTCAGAGACAGTTTAATTGCAATGAAAGTGATTGTCCATCTTTTTCCTTGTGGATCAGGTGGCAGATTTGAACCATGTGCCTTTGGGTTGGCAACACAATTCCTTAGAACAAGGCTATCAGAGCTCCCTAGTTTAGAAAACAAGAAGTCCAAATTCAGGATGCTAGTAAATCATACGCGATTTCAAACTGAAGTTGAAGAAAATTAAAGCAAGTCCATGAGAGCCAAACTAGGATTTTGAGTGTATCTCAACTGAATTTAAAAACCATTTTAGACACTTCAACTATTTAGATCCTCCCAGAAGAGCCGTAGATAAGCATTGACATAAGTATATTCATTTTTCTCCTGGACACAGAGCCTACTAATTGGTCCTAAAAGTCTTCTGAGGTCCCAACTCTTCTCACTATTTCTTAGTTGTTGGAATGGACGGAAAACCTCATAAGCAGTTCCTTACTTCACCTCTCTCT